CACATGCAAAAAAAAAAAAAAAAAAGAAAAAGGAAAATAGAAGATAAATATATTTTATAATACACACCCTAACTATTAAATTGACTCGAATTTTCTTTGGTTAAAACGTCTAGCGATATCAATTTTGATATTACCAGTTTTAATGTTTTTAAAAATTGTTATGGCTTCTTTGTGAGTTAAACCGTGGAAAGGAGTTCCATTAACTGCAAGAATTTCATCACCTAAAGTAAAACAAAATCAAAAGTTTGTTTACTGTATTGTAGTAGATTTAGATACCTGTTGTAATATTTCCGCATTCAGCAGCCTGTCCATTTTCAAATACAGTTTTCACGAATATTCCCATTGGTCCCCGCGGAGAATCAGCCCCACCAACGATAGAAAATCCCAGTGACTTTTTGTCGGGACCTTTCTGGAAATTCACGGAAAATATCGCATTTTTATGATTTCTTGGAGTAGTTGTACAGATTCTCTTAATTGAAGATGTTGGTGTATTATTTCGCCTCAGTAGGTTATTTTCATTTAATCGTCTTAATCTTGGAGTTAATGGCCCTTCTTTAACCATCTCCCCAACTACTCTTGGGATTTTATAATTTGCAGGATTATTTGATAACTGGGAAACGTGTTGTCTACATGGTTCAGAATTCTTATAGATCAAAGGTACATCGGTATTTTCACGGGTTTTTTTAACCACTTGATCAGTGGAATCTATTCTCTGAAAAATTTTCTTATTAGACAATTCGTTTCTATCAATGTTTCTTTCTCTTAAAGTCTTATAATCTCCCCTCGTTCTCTCGTTATCAACAACCTTTATTCGTGAAATAATTATTTCTAATTCACCGTTAATTGGAGCAAGTAACCTAAGGGCAGAAGTGAAAGAAACACCTCTGAGACGAACTCCATTTAATTTAACAACTTCATCGCCAATCCATAAATTACCATTTCTGAAAAATATGGATTATTAGAAATGCATAAATTTTTTATTCCTAGTTACCTTTCAGCTATTGATCCTGGATGTATATCAGTAATGACAAATGAATTATTTTTTGTAGTAGGTTCATTTTTCTCTGCAATAGTAATTCCGGTTTTTTGTGTACAATTTAATTTTAAACGAACACATTTATAATCTTTTTCAATAAGCGGTCTTCTAAAAGACTGGTAAGTTCCATCAGAACGTAAGGTTGAAGGATAGTTAGGAACTAAAATTGAGTCGTGATCTAAAGAAATATTTCTCAGTTTATCATTAAAACTTTTCACTAGTTCTTCCATAAGTTTCACATTTTTAGTTTCAATTTCAGTTCTATCCCTTAATGGTGTGTTTGTGTACGAATTAATGTTATTTGTTTGAGGGGTTTGTAAATGATTTGGCTTTATATTTTCGTAATTTTTATGAGATGTATTGACTTTGGAACTATCTATTACCTTCTTTGAATTAGGAGTATATTTGTTATCATCCGTACTGTCTGATCTTGGTCGCTTCATGGAGCCTAAAGCAGTTCGTGATTTGTCGAAATTGTCGTATGAACTATCTACTTCGAGACATCGTAGGGTTTTATCGGATTCATTAGTATCATTGAGGAATGTTATGTTGGTTACATCTCTCGTGTTCAAATTTGAGGAATCTGAACAAGTTGATTTAAATGATGCTCTTAAAGAAGAAGGGTTTCTAGTTGAGTCGGTACTATAGCCGCTTTCATCCGACTTTCCGGTAATTGAAGATACCATTGAGGAAATTTCTGACAATGAAAGTGCTTTTTTTGTATGCATCAGCATGTCACTAAGACTTGATAGACTCCCCGATGAAGACGTTCGTTTGAATCTGTTAATACATTCGCTTTCATCGTCGGACTTTGAAAAACTTAAAGAGAATAAGTTTCTAACGCTTTTCTTTTTACGTAATGTTTTTCCGGTGTTTTCTTCTGCAAGTGATGTCATCTTTTTAGACTTCCTTTTTTCGTTTGCTTTAAGGTCGTTTATTAAATCCTTGAGTTCTTTCGCATCTGGTTTCACCAAAAGAAGATAATCCAGGAGCTGCTTTTCGTTTAATTCAAGATTTTCCATTGTCGATTTAAGTTTTCTTTTACTTCTAGCAGTATATTTTACTGTTTTCTTTGTGTTACTGCATTCTTTATATATTTCATATATCTTTTTGAGATCAGAATGGAGTGTGTCAGGTGTTTGTTTTTTGTTAAATTCTTTCGATTTTTTTGGTTGATTTCCGTAAGGAATATTTTCGATGGAAGATGACTGACTTCCTGCATTGGAACTTTTGTGTTCTAACACGCCGATGCGTTTTTGCCAAGGCGTCCAGCAACTTCTACCTGTTATTTCCGATAGAAATTCGGACGAATTGGTCTTTGTAAAATCCCAGTTTGGTTCAAGTTTCTTATCCAAATAGGAAACACCTTTAAGTCACTCATTAAATTTATACATGTACTTAATAAATTAATATTTTTTACCTTCTATTTTAGAGGTGCAACAGTCCACATCAAGTGGATGATAAGTTTCACAGGAACCATTTTGTATTGTGTGGGGGCTGGGGTCTGAGTTTCGTCTTTTAAAAAGTCGCATTTTTTTACTGATAAACAAAATAACACAATTTAAAATGTGGTTTTGTTACAACTTAATTAGTATTAATGTTAATATATATTAGTACGATTTTTAAAATGATTAACTGTATGGAAGCACAACTGCACTGTCAAATAACTATTCAGTATAAGATATTTCAAACTCTTCAAATCTTCTCGTTTTTACGTGAACGTTGTTTAAAAGGGAATTCTTATCATAACTCGTATGAAAGGTAACATTCTAAGCTAAAGTCACCTTCATACACTGGTCGAGTAAAATTACTTATTTTGTACAAATGTTGATATCTGTACAAAAGAAATATACCTATTTATCTTTCTTTTCTGATAGACAAAAAGCCTACAAAATAAAAGAAAAAAGAGATGTGAGATAAGTCAGATGTACTTGAATGAATAAAACTTTTAAAAAATGTATATTTATTTATAACTTTATTTAGTGTAAATCTGGCGAATATTGTTTTATGGTAATCAGTATTATCAGAATTCAGATTTTCTTTACACAAAAATGCAAAGTTGTGCAGCTAGGGTGAATTTACCTTCGAAATATGACTTTAATTGACTAATATCTACATTTGCAGCTCTTTTTTATAGTACTCTCTTAAATTAGGTATTGATTGCATGTAAATTTTGTGCCATATACCTATTGAAAGATATTATAATTATATTCATTTAATGATAAATAGCAGTAGTTCTATTTGTTTATAAATTCGTAAAAAGTCTAGAGCAGCCCACCAGTAACCTTAATGATACATGAATGTTATTACGTATACAAACCAATCAAGAAAACGTACCTACAAGTTATATTCTGTGCATCCTACATAGGAAATAGATAAAAAATATACTTGCTTACCTTTCAATTAACAGTGGCGGAGATGACTCAAATATTAAAAAAAAAACTTTTTGAAAAGTAATATATGCAGGAACAATAGTAAAACTTTATCTATTACTAACTTTTACCGGCAATTTAGTTTATGTGAAACTTTAGTACGTACAATTGTTAAATGCAATAAACAATTAAAAATTGAAATCGATTTAGCCGTTTCAAAGATTAGCCCCTTTTTTGATAGTATAGATTCATTTATGGATTTATCATTTCTCAATGCAAATAAATTTCAAAGGATTATTGGCAATTACAAAATAATAAGATGATTACACAATCAATTAGGTGCAAATAATTAATATTGTAAAATTGTTGTTATGTTGTAAGTTAAAAAAAATGTTTCAAAGATAATAATCTAATGTGGACTACCTATTTGCGTGGGAAAGCAAAAATTAAGCGTCAATTTTTTTTGAGTTTGCTGACTTTATTAATAATAAATTTGTAAAAGAAATAAAATGAAATTAGTAAATATTAAGTTCAAGTATGATGTAGCATTAAGCAAAAGATTTTTTTATGTTATTAATCTCGTTAATGATAAACAGTATCCAAAGGTAGTGGATTAAACTAGGACCTATAATCAAATTAATGAGTAATTCTTTGACGTACCTTATTTTCGCAAAATATAACAAAAACCTCGCACACCATTCGAATCAGACAAGCAGATTGTGGTGTAAATTGTTAGGAGTATTTCAAACACACACTGCACCGCCCCGCTACTTTATACCTTTCTTTGGATGCTGATGGAGATTAAATTAAACAACATGCATGTGATCTCGTAATAGTGTGCAGAACATTATTAATATTAATACAAACGCATGTCTATCAGCTAAGAGGATTCTCACCAGCGCTTCCTCTCTCAAAATTAACTAGATGTGAACCTGTTTTTCAAATTAATACTTTTCAATTATATTAATTCTTGTCCTTATTCTCAAATGAAAATTATCCTATGTCTAATCGTAAGTATTAATGAAATCTTAGCCTTATTGTTTGAAGTTACAATTTTTACAAAATATTTTTGTTGCAAAGTTAAATATGAAATTAACTGAACTTTGTATTTACTTATATTTTACAATAAATAATATATATAGCAACTTACGATTAAACCTAATTTTGTGTACGCATTATTATGTAGTCTGTAGGTGGGCGCTTGTTATGAAATTTCAGAATAAATTTCCTGTTAATACATTTATACAGTTATGCGTTAAAAAATTTTCAAGGTTTTTCCAAATTTGGTGTCACTTAAAGGATGGAAAAGAGACAAGAATAACGCATATTTTCATTAACTATTTATAAATTTAATATTTTGATTATTTGGTCAACCTCAGAGACGTTGTCCCATGTACGGCGGGCCCAGGCTTGGACCAGCCTTGGTCCAACTATGCAGAACTCTGGGCCAGACTTGTAAGCCAGACTTGGCCCAGTCTTGGTCAAAGTCTGGAATGATAACGCTGGCCCAATAATGGTTACTAGGACTGGCCCACGCCTAGTTGCCAGGGCTGGGACATAGTTAAGCTTCAAGTCTGGCCCATGTCTGGTTGCCAGGGCTGGGCCATAGTTGTTTCAAGTCTGGTCCATGCCTGGTTGCCAGGACTGGGGCACAGTTAGGTTTTAAGCATGACCCATGCCTGATTGCCAGGACCATGCCGTATTTACATGACTGGGTTACGCTTAATTTTTAAAATTGGCCCAAGCTTGCCAAAACTGACCCAAGTTTACTTTATAGGATTAACTCATATTTAACTTTTGTATTTAATAATATCAATAATAAATTGAATGATGTTATAATTTCTATCACAGAATATTAATAACGTGGAAAACTCCATCATGAACTCAATAAAATTGATAAAAATAACGATTCTTTGAAGTTTTTTATCAACTTGTTTTACACTGGGCTTCCCTGCTTTGACCATTCTATGACAGACCAATCTTGACCCAGACTTGGGTAATCATTGGATTGGTCAAGGCTAGGTTGTTTAGTCTTGGCCCAAGACTGGGCTCCCCTTCTTTGGCCATTCTATGGCAGACCAATCTTGGCCCAGACTTGGGTAATCATTGGATTGGCCAAGGCTAGGTTGTTTACTCTTGGCCCAAGACTGGGCTCCCCTGCTTTGGCCATTCTATGGCAGACCAATGTTGGCCCAGACTTGGGTAATCATTGGATTGGCCAAGGCTGGGCAACCCAGCCCTGGCCCAGGCTCGGGTAATCGTTGGGTCGGACAAGGCTAATTATTCTGTCTTGGCTCAAGCACGGGCCAATATCGGGGCACCAAAGCAGGGCTCCCCAGTACTGTACCAGGCTAGGCCCCGTCATTCAACTTTGGCGGTTCCTACATGGGTAACTATTGAACTTTATTGGTCTAGTAGCTATGTACATCAATTTCTGTGTCGCGCTAACATATCTGCCCTTGCAAAATAAATTACTTTAAATAAAGTGCTTTCTCCCTACTATGATATAAAATTTTGTTTATTATTATTTATTGATTGTAGTTTCAATTCTAATTTCAATAAATATACCAGCCCCTGTTTCTCTGTTAGATCTTTAAAAATGACAGAAGATTTTCGAATAACCAAATCAAGATATGTACGAAACATTTTGCGAAAATGACTTTGTTGTGATTTCATTTTAGTTAAAATGTTCTGGTCGCTGTATATTTTCTCCCTACCAGTGAAGAGAGAAGAAGAGTAAATCGAAACCTCCAAACATCTCTTCGCAAAATAATCTTCAAATATGTTTCTAAATCAGTTACACAAGACTAGTGATATAAGTTTTGATAAAAGCAACTTCTTGGTCACTTTATTTCTGTACTTTTTATTATTGCTATAAACTCAATTTTAATATACTGTTCAGTTTGACATCCATTATTAATATTTAATTGTTAATACAGCTTTGGTTTATAAGGTTTTCGAATTATGGGTTACACACAGGGCCTTACCAACAGGGAGGGAGGAATAAGGGTTCAAAACCCCACCGAAATTTTATTAGGGGCGTAAAATCAAGGCTTTTGCAATAAACACAATTTTTTAGTGCTTAGTTTTTAGAACATTTAATATGGTTATTCGTAATAAATTCTTAAAAATTCCAAGTGGATATTGCAACCGAGTCAATCTTTCTTTTCAAAACTTTTGTTTTCATAAATAGATGGTCAGCAACTGGCGACCTTTTGTTTTGTTTTGTGTTTATAGAGATAAAACTCAAAACCTTGAGTTATCTGGTTTTATGAAAAATTAACTAGCAGAAGAACCGACGATTAGGCAGAATTTTTCTATTTTTTCGTATGCACATTTACTAATTACCTCAAGGTTTTCAGTTTTTGCAAGATTTTGCTCGTGGAACAAGGATCAAGAATCAGTTAAGAATATATATATGAATTGTATGTACCTATTTAAGAAAAATAAGTACAGTCTGTAATATCTTAATTGTTTACTAATACAAGACAAAAAATATATTAATTAAAACGTATTACAGTTTTGAGTTTCTTGTGAATTTTTCGACCATTTTATTATTAAAATCTCTTAGGTTTCTAATGACATCTTTCGATGATCTCTTGACGAATACTTATCATTGCAAGACAATTGCGCCGACTTTCCACCATGGTACTTCTTATTACAATTAGTCCTTCATGTTCTCAGGGATAATTATTCAATGAACACTTATCACCCCAAGACCATTGTATTTCTTACATTATCCAAGTTTTGTTCATCTCAGACTGCTAAAGGATCACTTTACAGTACATATTATGCCCGGTAGAGAGATGAAAATTTTAAAAATTGTCACAATTATTGCCAAAGTTCGATTTCATTTTTTACTTACTTTAACCCTCGAAATACCTAAAATTTTTAAAATAGGAAAACACACACCACCGGAAATATAAATTTCACTTATATAGACAAGAGAGTTTCTGTGTTCTCTTTACTTTTAATATTACATCATCATCATCATCATCATCATAAGGTCGTCAGTCCTAAGACTGGTTGGACACGCACCTCCACTCTTTCCTATCTTGAGCTAATCTTCGCACTTCCTTAAAACTAAAACATCCCACATCCTTAACTATTTGTAAACAGTAATCTAATCTAGGTCTGCCTCTAATATGTCTCTGACTAGACCTTCATGCCTGAAAAGATGTCCTACCAACCTATCTCGCGTATTTTTTTTTTTTTTTACTTCCATAGAGTCCTCTGTTCTCCCATTCTTTCTAATACCTCTTCATTTCTATCCACGGTATCCCCATTATTCGCTTGTAACACGCATTTCGAACGCCTACCGTCCATGTTTCGCACCCATACATTGCCGCGCACCAAACATATACTTTTAACAACCTTTTACGAATTTCTAAATTAAAAGTTCGCGAGCATAGAAATGACTTCTAATTATTGAACGCGACTCGACCTTGCGCTAACCTCTGCTTTATATCCCTACTACTCCTTCCGCCCTGACTTATCTGACTTCCTAGATACCTAAAATCAGCCACATCTTCTACTTTTTCGTCTGCTACCTTTATATTCGCTCTTTCTCTACTTTTTCTTTTTTTTTTAATTTTACTTGTTTGTTTCTAACCAAATTAACATTTTTTGAATTGAAATTAATCGCTTTGTTGTACCTGAAATTTATTAACTTCAATCATAAGGAAACTTTGGTAATGGGTTTTATTGTGGATTTCAACATATTTTGTAATTTGAAGGTCACAATAGCATTGCTATATAGTTTTGAGAAAGTCAATTATGGATAGTAATAACAATATGATTTGACGAAAACATCATAACGTTCGTTTGTTTGTTTAAACAAAAAGTCTGAAAAAAATAAATTTGGGAATTTCTTGAAAAATATTTAATTATTATTTTATACTGGTTTTATATACATATATACTTTCGTTTGCTATTACACTGATCATAGGCATACGTATGCGTTCCAGTTTGCATCGCGAATTATAATTAAATTTTTTCGAGTCTGTAGGGGGGCAGCTGCCGCCCCCTTGCTTCTTCTTCTTGACGTCCTTGATATCTACTACACATAAAATTAGCCAAAGAATGCTGAAATATGTAAGTATTCGCCATCCAAAGTCGCGCTCGATGCGGATGTAGTTTCTAGTCCTTACTGCACAAAGAAAAAGTGTGCTACCACAGCCCCACTCGTCCATATTATATTATTTTTAATATAATAATAATATTTTTGCTATTTTTTGGACCATTTCCACTCTCGTCACATTTCGTTATGCAAATCCCCTCCCTCTTGTTACGTCACGCTGACAGTTGTATGTTCGCTAGTGATTGATTTAAGATCATATATTATTAATAATATAATCATTTTAAAATTACAATTTTAAAATAATATTTGTTTAAACACAAAAAAACACAGAAATGTGTACTGACTAACTCCCCTTCCCTCCATTGTTACACTTCCCGTGGCGCTATCCCAAGCCCCCCTCTCCACTCGCGGCGTGACGTAATATATGAACGACTCTACAGGCCCGTATCAGATTTTTTTAGATACACTGGAACCTACT